CTTTCATAAGACCCTTTGGCTTTCTACTTGGGAAAACCAACCAACCAACCGATGAATAAATCCAGTGAATTTGCCATAGGAATCCCAAGGCAGGACAAAGAAGAACTCCCAGTGGTTAGGGTTGTGGCAAAGATTTTATATATATACTAGACTCTAGGCCCGGTGCACAAAAATCGTGCAGGGGGGAGGGGGGAAGGCAAGTCCCTCAGCCCAATATATATACTAGAGGCCCGGTGCACAAAAATTGTGCAGGGGGGAGGGTGGAAGGCAGGTCCCTCAGCCCAGCCTGCACCCTCTCCAACCTAAGACCCCTCGGGGGATGTCCAACTGCCGGTTTAGGCCTGATTCCTGCAGGATCAACTTTGCCAGAGAATGCGGTTTGGGGCAGCTCCTTGGAGGTGACCTGGGTGGCTCTGGTGGCCCCAGTCTTTGCAAAGGGCTTTTGTGAGACAGTGGCTCCATGAGGCCCATCGTCCTGGGCACAAAGAGGCCAGCGCTTTGCCTCTAACCCTTTCCTCGTTTAGAGCAGAATCTTCCAGGTTGGGTGGGAGAAGCAAAGCCATTGAATAATTCATTTCTTCATGAAGAATTCATCCTCTGTCAGAGCCTCCTGCCTCTTGTACCAGCTGACCCTATAATTAGACAGAGCAGGACCATTTCCTTCCCCGCGCCGGCTCTCCGAAGCGAGCTCTATCAATCCGGGGCCATTGGGAGGCAGATGGCACACTCAAAATAGGGCAATTTAAGGAGGCCTGGCAAAGAGAAGTGGGCAGGATATGGGGTGACCAAAAGGCAAAGTGCATGGGTAGTGCTAATGGCTGACTGTGAGCTCTTACCAGCCCTGGGCCTGAGGGGGAGGGAAGAGAGCCTTACGGGAATCTAGAAGGAGACAGTCAGATGGAGACGGTCATTTTGGGAGGGGCTGGGACCTTCAGCTGAGGGGTATAGCCAGCCTGAGACCCCATGAGATGGGACCCAGCCAGCCACTAAACCTTCTAGCTTCACTCTCCTCCTTCCCTCCAATCTCCTGCCAGTCGCCCTCCCCCCACTCCCATTGACCCAGCCGGACCAGGAGCCAGAGGGCCAGGAGCCTGTGCATGTAGGACAGACAGGTCAGCCCAGGGCCAGAGGGCAAGGAGGGGAAGACTAAGGAGTGAATCTGGAGGGGCCCAGAGGAGACACCTGGCACGCGAGGCTTCCTCACACGCGTCCGGGACCCCACCTGGCCCATTCCTTCTTAAGGCCACGGTACACAAGCGTCTTGTCATTTTGCTCTCAAATTATCTATCCTGTCTTATGCTGTTATCATTATACATCATCTGGATATCTTATCTGCCAAGCCAGATTGTCAGCTCTTCCCTGGGACTTTGTGTTTTATTCTCTCTCGCTCATCTCTGTCTTTCTAACTGTGTGTGTGTGTGTGTGTGTGTGTGTGTGTGTGTGTGCACGCGCTCGCGTGCGCACGCCAGGCCAGGGCGCCCCCTCTACCCCCCTCAACAGGCTAGGTTCTGATGCAGTAACAACCACCAGATCTTAGCAGCTTTACACAATAAATGATTTTTCCTGCTCACCCTACCTGTCCACTGCAGGTTAACAAGGGGGCTCTTCATGCCAGTTGCTTCGGGACCCAGCATGGCTTTGTCTCGATGCATGTAGCCACAATCACAACAGAAGAGGGGATGTACCTGCTAACATTGATCCAAAGAAAGCAGGAGCAGCTATCCTAGCTTCAGACAGAGCAGACTCCAGAGCAAGGACAGTTGTGAAGAGGGACATTACATACGAGGGGTGACACTCGAGAAGGCATAACAGTTCTTAATGTGTATTTGTCTGACAACAGAGCGCCAATACACGTGAGACAAAAAAGGGTAGGACTGTAAGGAGAAAGGGAATAACCCAATGTTATAGTTGGAGACTTTAACACGCTCTATTAGGAATGAGCAGAAAGATCCAGCAGGTAGAAAATCAGTGAGAACAGAGTTGAACAGGATGTCACCATCAACCAACTGGATCTAATTGACATTGATAGATGGGCTCACCCAACAACACATTCTTCTCAAGCTCACAGGGAGCACTCACCAAGAAAGACCATAGTTTGGGCCACAAAACACACTTTAACAAATAAAACACACACACACAGAAATCATACAATGTCTGTTTACAGACAACAGTGGAATTAAACTAGAAATCAATAACAGACAGATAGCTGGAAAATCCCCAAACAGGGAAAGATTAAACAACACACTTGTAAATAACACATGGGTCAAGTAAGAAATCTCAAGAGAAATTTAAAAATATTTTGAAGTAAATGAAATTGCAATGTTTCAAAATTGGTGGGATACAGTACAGCCGTGCTTAGAGGGAAATCTATAGCATTGAATGCATAGATTAGAAAAGGAGAAATGTCTAAAGTCAGTAATCCAAGCTTCCACAGTAGGAAAGTAGAAAGATGAGAGAAAATTAACATGGGAGAAAAGCTAGATAATCTTGGGCATGGCACTGACTTTTAGCTACAACACCAACAGCACCGCCCATCAAAGAAGCAATTGATAGACTTAATTAGACATCATTAAAATGAAAGAAACTTCTGCTCTGTGAAAGACAATGACAAGCTACAGAATTGGATAAAATATTTGCAAAAGATGCATTTGATAAAGGACTGGTGTCCAACATAGACTCAGAACTTTTAACACCCAACAATAAAAAAACAATAACCTGATTTAAAAATTGGCAAAAGATCTAGACAGAATTCACCACAGAAGATATACAGATGGTAAAACAGCTTATGAAACTCTGCCTCACAGCCTATGTCTTCACAGAAATGCAAATTAAAACAACAATGAGATACCACGACACACCTATTGGAATGGCCAAAATCCAAAACACTGACAACACCAAATGCTGGCGAGGATGTGGAGCAACAGAGTCTCTGATTCATCTGCGGGTGGGGATGCAACATGCCACAGTCACTTTGGAAGACAATTTGGCAGTTTCTTAAACTAAATATAGTCTGACCATATGATCCAGAAATTGCATTTCTTGGTATTTACCCAAATGAACTGAAAACTTACGTCTACACAGAAACGTACACACAGATATTTATAGCGGCTTTATTCACAATTGCCCAAACTTGGAAGCAACCAAGATATCCTTCAGTAAATGAATGAATAAATAAACCTTGGTTCATGCTGACAATGAAATAGTACTCAGCACTGAAAAAGAAATGAGCTATCAAGCCATGAAAAGACATGGAGGAAACTTAAGTGCATATCAGTAAGTGAAGGAAGCCAACCTGAAAAAGGCTACACAGTGTGTGATTCCAACTCTATGACATTCTTGAAAAGGCAAAACTATGAAGAGTAAAAAGATCGGTGGTTGCCAGGGGTTGGGGAGAGGGACGGATAATTAGGCAGAGCACGGAGGACTTTTAGGGCAATAAAACTATTTTGTATGATACTCCAGTGGTGAATACATGTCATTATACATTTGTTCAAATCCCTAGGATGTACAACACCATTAGTGAGCTCTAATGTGCATGATGCACTTTGGGCAATCGCCATGTGTCAATGAAGGCTCCTCATTGTAACACATGTACTGCTCTGGTGGGGTTGCTGATGATGGGAGAGCTTTGGGGACAAGGGATACCGGTATATGGGAACTCTCTGTACTTTCTACAGAATTTTACTGTGAACTCCAACCTGCTGTAAAAAATAAAGTTTAATAATAAATAGATAAAACTACAGTCCAGTATCTCTCACGAATTTAGATGCATAAATTCTCAATAAAATATTAGCAAAGAGAATCAGTTATGTATTAACAGACATTTAGGACATTGGATGATTTAATGAGCTAAGGCTTCAAAGTTAGGGATGCATACTTAGTTCCAATTATCAGCTTCCTGTTTGGTGAAATAACTCCCTAAGCCTCAGTTTACTGATCTGCACTATAGAAAAAAATCCACATAATTTAGGAATAGTATTTGTGTTTCGTGAATGAAATAGACCTCAAAATACTCTTTAGAAGTTATTTCACCTGAAAATGAACAGGCTGGCACCTTGATCTTGGACTTCCCAGAGAGCTTTGGGGACAAGGGATACCGGTATATGGGAACTCTCTGTACTTTCTACAGAATTTTACTGTGAACTCCAACCTGCTGTAAAAAATAAAGTTTAATAATAAATAGATAAAACTACAGTCCAGTATCTCTCACGAATTTAGATGCATAAATTCTCAATAAAATATTAGCAAAGAGAATCAGTTATGTATTAACAGACATTTAGGACATTGGATGATTTAATGAGCTAAGGCTTCAAAGTTAGGGATGCATACTTAGTTCCAATTATCAGCTTCCTGTTTGGTGAAATAACTCCCTAAGCCTCAGTTTACTGATCTGCACTATAGAAAAAAATCCACATAATTTAGGAATAGTATTTGTGTTTCATGAATGAAATAGACCTCAAAATACTCTTTAGAAGTTATTTCACCTGAAAATGAACAGGCTGGCACCTTGATCTTGGACTTCCCAGCCTCCAGAACTATGAGAAATAAATGTCTGTTGTATAAGCCACCCAGTCCATGATATTTTGTTATGGCAGCCCAAGGCAACCAAGGCAGCCCAGATCCTTAAACAATAGTCCACAAGGCCCTGCACTGTCCAGCCCCTCCTTTCTTTGTGATCACCTCTCTGGCTTCTCTTCCCTGGCTCGCTTTCTCCAGCCCCCTGCCCTCCTTGGTATTGCCTGAATGCACAGAGTGCATTCCCACCCCAGGGCCTTTGCACTTCCATCCATTCTGCCAGGTATAGTCCTCCTCCATGGCAGAGTCCTTCCTTTCCTTCAAGTCTTTGTTCAAAAGTCTCCTCAACGAGTCTGACCCTGAAAACTATTTAAAAGGGGACTCACTCCCCCCCCCCAGGATTTTCCATTCCTCTTACAAGTTCTACTTTTTAATTTTCCCCCATGAACTTAACACTCTAACATATGGTATTCTTTATTTATTAGGTTTATTGTCAACTGCCCGTTATCTCCTACGAGAATGTAAGCTCCAGAAGAAGAGAGATGTTTGTCTGTTTTGTTTGCCGATGAATCCCAAGTGCCCAGAACCATGCCTGGCACACAGTTCCTGCTCAATAAATATTTTTTGATGGAATGGAGGAACCTCTTCACCCCTGGTGAAACAGCCTGCCTGCCAAGGAGACCATGCCATACCAGGACCACCCAGCAGATGGCAGCCGATGAACGCCAGAGACAGCTGGGAGCCTATACTTTGAACTCAAGGTTCCTCCCAATTAATTCTAAGATAACCCAGGAGACAAAATCAAGTTCAACTTCCTCTTGTGTTCGTGAGAAAGAGCTTGTGTGTGGGAGGCGAGCTGCTAAAGCCTTTATCTAATGCAGTAGGCTGTTTACCCACAATTCAGGGGCAAAAAAATGAAAACAGCTGCTAAGGAGAACCAAGGTCAGAGTCTTCCCTCGGTGGGAAAAGGGGTGAAGAAGGCCGTCGGTCTCCTCCAGAGGATGGAGAAGCGACATCGGACCACTATGACCGAGGAAAGAAGCCACACTAAGGACGAACACATCGCCTGGGGGTGGGCGTTTCCGGTCTTCCGCTGAACACGCCAGAAGATGCTCTGCAACACGGGTCTCTGGGCCCTGCCAGACCCCCCCCCTCCCCCGGCTCCAGTGCTTCTGGAACCCATGCACGCAGGATATCGAGTTGCAGCTGTACCAAACCCTTCGCCCCAAGGCCAGGGAACCCGCCTTAGATCAAATTCGGCATTCGAGGGCGTCAGGTTAGGGGCAACCTTTCCCCCCTAATGTAACTTTTAATGTAACCCTCCTCCCTCCTTTATTCTCACCGAACCGTGACCTCCTGGTTCATAGGTCGATGCTCAACCACTGAGCCACACCGGTGGGGCTGAACCAAAGCTCTTTACACACATGCACCCAGCAACTAGGGTGCTTCACACACAACATGTACACACATACACACATAGACACACACACCAAGAATTTTCATCCCCCTAGCAACCAAAGAGCTTTACACACACACACACACACACACACACCAAAGCACTTCATGTACACATTCCAACAACCAAAGAGTTCACACACCCACTCACACATCCCCAACAACCAAAGCACTTCACACACATACACCCCAAAAAGCTTTCCTCCCCCAACCAAGGTGCTTCCTACACTCCCCCACAGACCCCACCAACAGAAGAAAACCCCAAAGCACTTGGGTAGTTTGCCGCAGCAGCAGGTACTTGAACACTAATACATTCGACTGCGACTTTCTTTACAGATTAATGAGCAGAGAAAGATGAGGGGGGGGGGGTGGTAGAATGGCGGGAGAGAGCAATTACACCCAAATCTTTTCTCTGTTGATTAGGGATTCCTTCTCCAGCCTGCTTTGGCTCCTGCTAAATCTTTTTCTAATGAGATGTGGCTTATCCAGATCAGAGCGCGGAGAAAAAAAGTTGCAATTAACTTTAAGAAGAAAAGGAGTGAGAAAGAGAAGAGGGGGGCAGGGCAGGGAGATGGGGAGTGGGGGCAGGGAAAGGGGCTGGGGCTGGCAGCCAGGAGGGCTGGGTGCAGGGCAAAGGGACTTCCGACCCTGGGATTCCAGAATTTAGGGAAAGTCTTTGCAATTCCCATGTCTGTCTGGGTCAGGCCTCCTGCCACTCCCCACTCAACAGAAGGGTGGGGAGCAGTGTGTCTCCTGGGCTCTGGGGCCTTACCCACTCGGCACACCTGACACCTGGCAGGGATGGGGGGATGGGCCCTCTCAGCTGCATCTTTTCACACCTGAGCTCTTACTCCTGCTGGACATGGGGCCTGCGACCACCTGCCCGGAACTTCCGGGACCCACAGGCACCAGGTCAGCCCTCCGCGTTTCCTCAGGCCTCCCTGGCAGCCAGAGAGACGGCCCTGGAGTGGGCTCGAGGCGCTGAGATCCTCTGCTGGTGTCTCCCTGACTCGCTCACTGTTTCAGGTGCACGCCGCGTCCCGAGTTATTTTCACGTGAGCCACTTAGAAGGGCGAGAGGGTCTGCGATGGAAAGTGACATTTCATGTTGAAATGGTCAACGTGCCTCAAGTTTCTAGAAGCAACGTAGGTTTACCTTCATTTGCTTCTCTGTCCACACCCTCAAGCTTGACCAACAGGCACGCCCTCTCGCTGATGTGCAATTTCTCCGTCTCTTAAGAAAAACAGAGTGGTGGGCGTTCGATCTCCGGGGTCTCGGCCAATCCTGACGCTCTGAGAGCCAGCGAAAGGCACAGCACAGTCTCCAGGCGTCCCGATTTGAGGAATGACACCCGTCCCCTGACACCCATGCTCTGCCCTGAGCGCCCCCAGGACACACACATCCCTGCCTGCTCGTATCCACGTGGGGACCAGTCTTCACCCCGGTTGGCAATAAATATCCAGCAGTGCCTGAAGGCAGCCTTTGCAAACCTCCAGGCTCCTAACCCAGCGCTTGTGGTGACACTCGTCTTGGAGGATAACGTCCCATCTGCGTGCCAGCCGAGCTGGAGCCCCAGGCTCAGGTCAGGTGGGACTGGGACAGGTGGGTGGAGGGGAACCTATACACAGAGCATCATCCCCATTCTCTTTGGTCCCAGGCAGCTATATATGCTCCAGGGGCCCAGGCAGGTCACCCGCAGCTCCTTCCTCTTGTGTTTATTCCGCTGTCCACGGCGCTTCCTCTCCCCAGGCCTCGGGCCTCGCTGTGCAAATTGGAAAGGAGTTTATTGCTCGGCTGGAGACGCATGGGAAAAAGTGAGTCTGGGGCCTCTGGATCGCACCCCACCTGCTTGGTTCCCAAAGAAGGGCCCCTGCTGGTGGTGGCCACCCAGAAACACGGGCCCCTCTGTGGGGAGACCCTGACCAAAGAAGCCCCAGAGATGACACCAGCCAGGGAGAGGGCGGCTCAGGCCATTTGTCCTGTGTCTGAGTTCCAGGGAGGCCAGCCTATTCCCCAACCTCCAGGCCCAGGGATTCCCTTGGCACCCGGCTCCCTGGTCAGCCCTGCTCTCTGCCTCTGCCCTCCACCGTGGTAGCTGCTGGAGACAATTCGGCTTTCTCCCACCCCTCTCTCTGGCTGTCGCCAATCTAATAAGCATATGTGTGAGAAATCCTAGCTGCAGTGCTAAGTTAGGAATTCTTCTTAAACGTATAGTAAGGTCAGATGAAGTGGGGGGTGGGGAGGGGGAATCCCAGAAAACAAAACACAAAACCCCCGAAACAGAAATTGGACACAGGAGGGCAGATGTAGACTGAACAGGAAGTGCTGGCCCTAGGCTAAATGAAACAGCTGTCACCATTGTTCCGCGCTGAAAACGGCCTTTGCAAACTCCGCGCGGGCCGGGCGCAGAAAGCAGATGTTAATAATTACAGCACATGAAACGAAGGGCACGGGATTAGGCAAGTGACGAAAAAGAAATGGTACCGGTAGATTTATAACTCGCTCAGGCAAATCTGTTTGGGCTGGTGGGGGTAGGCGGGCGGCCTCGCTGTAGAGCCCCCTCTCCTGTCCCCCAGTCCCCTTCCTAGTTTGGCATTTTGGCTTCCGGGATTGTCTCAGAATGGGGGGGGGGGGAGGAGGGGGATACTGTAGATGGTTTTAGGGCGCTGGGCAGTGGAGGCCTTTCCTTGCATTTCTGGGGACCCTGGGCCCACAGGGCCACAGTCCACTGCCTCTGACCTAGAGGAAAATCGATCCTAACGCAGGCACCAAAAAGGGGTCTCCAGGCTGATGCATCCTGGGGCCGGATGGCTTGCCGCTAAACAGGGGCTTATGGGCATCCAGCTGGCGGCTTCCTTAGAGCGCTCGCTTTCCCCAAGGGTTCCCCTTTAAAACCCAGGAGCTCAGGTTCTGTGCAGCTGAAACGGGCTCACCCTTTAAAGTCCGCCGGCCCCCAGCGCCTTGGAGGAGGCCAGGGAGAGCTGGGAGGCTGTTGGGACGGCGGAAGAGAGGAGGCCGAGCAAGTTGCTGGGCTAATCCCAGACATAGAAGGAGCAGCGAGTCTTCACGGACTTTCGGAACCACCTCGGTGCTCTTCCCTGGGAGCCGGAGTTGTCAGAAGCAAAACAAAACAACACACACCCTCCCGCATCCGCCCCGGATCCTCCTGTCCCACCACCCCCTGGAAAGGACGTCTCCCCGAAAGGTTAGAAAGAAGGTAAGCCATGTGTTTGCCATCTTGACGCCTGATATGGAAACCATATGCTTAAATACACTCACAAACATACTTAATATAACACTCTTTTATTAAATGTGGTTTTATAAACGCTCTCCCCAGCCAGGGCACCTTTGCTGCGCTGGAGGCTGGAACTTGGCAAAATAATCTCCCCGCTGTTCCATCTATTGATACACATTTTTGGAAAATGAGTCTCGGACCCTCGGAAAATAGACTGGTTCTGATTATGATTTCGAGCGGGAAGGGGCACAGGAGGGCATCTTTTTTCCCTCTGATAAATTAAAAGGACTGTAACGGGGGCTTTCTGCAACCCGTAACAGGGCAGAGACACCTGTGAGTCATTTAGCAGCTCCTTACAGAAGATTTATTTGATGAATTCGGTCAGAAGAGAGAGAATATGGGTTTTCCCCTGCTCGGAAAGGCACAGAGGCACTCGCACATGCACACAGGCACCCACCCACGGGGAGACGGCTCAGGAATGAAAAACGACTAATCGTGTTATTGGAACTGGCCAGCGCGGGGCCTGGAGGAGAGAGAGCTGGCTCCCGGCCTGCTGGTGGCAGGGCTGGTTGCAGAATAGATTTCATATCCGTGGGCCCGACGTCACCCAGGAGGGACCCGAAAGAGTCACACTGTGGACGCTGGGCTGCGTTCATTCGACAGCGAGGGCTGGGGCCAGGCTCTGTGCTGAGTGCTTGGCCTGCGCCGCCCCATGGCACCGGCACAGCGACCCTCTCCGAGGAGGCCCAGTGATGGGCTCCACTTTGCAGACAGGGAGGCCTCTCTGTTCCCAGCAGAACTCGGCTCAAAATTCTTTTCGCTTTTTTTCCGGGCGGTGGTTGGCTTTCTCGGGCCTCGCTGCCTAAACCAAGCGGACGGAGGCCACATCTTGCGACCGGCTCAGAGTGGGTGACCTTGGAAGGGGCCCTGGCCTGGGCTGTGCCTCGTTTCCTGAGGGTTACGGTTCAGTGTGGACAGAGACAGGCTCTCTTTGGGCTCATGTCTGGTCGCAAGGAGAGCTGGCCTCCTCTGGCCTCGGGTGTGTGTCTCTCATGCGAATGGCTCAGTCCTCCGAGCAAATGTCAGTTCCTGGTGGGTGGGAAGAGCCCTGGACAGAGGTCCCTGGAGAAGGCAGAGACTACTGTGGTCAAGAAATTGTGAAATCCTAGGAGATGTGAACCCAAGAGGATGCGGGGCCTCAGTGTCAGGGGTGGCAAGTGTATGCCAGGGGAATGTGCCGCCGCGACAGGAGGGCAGATGTAGACTGAACAGGAAGTGCTGGCCCTAGGCTAAATGAAACAGCTGTCACCATTGTTCCTCGCTGAAAACGGCCTTTGCAAACTCCGCGCGGGCCGGGCGCAGAAAGCAGATGTTAATAATTACAGCACATGAAACGAAGGGCACGGGATTAGGCAAGTGACGAAAAAGAAATGGTACCGGTAGATTTATAACTCGCTCAGGCAAATCTGTTTGGGCTGGTGGGGGTAGGCGGGCGGCCTCGCTGTAGAGCCCCCTCTCCTGTCCCCCAGTCCCCTTCCTAGTTTGGCATTTTGGCTTCCGGGATTGTCTCAGAATGGGGGGGGGGGGAGGAGGGGGATACTGTAGATGGTTTTAGGGCGCTGGGCAGTGGAGGCCTTTCCTTGCATTTCTGGGGACCCTGGGCCCACAGGGCCACAGTCCACTGCCTCTGACCTAAAGGAAAATCGATCCTAACGCAGGCACCAAGAAGGGGTCTCCAGGCTGATGCATCCTGGGGCCGGATGGCTTGCCGCTAAACAGGGGCTTATGGGCATCCAGCTGGCGGCTTCCTTAGAGCGCTCGCTTTCCCCAAGGGTTCCCCTTTAAAACCCAGGAGCTCAGGTTCTGTGCAGCTGAAACGGGCTCACCCTTTAAAGTCCGCCGGCCCCCAGCGCCTTGGAGGAGGCCAGGGAGAGCTGGGAGGCTGTTGGGACGGCGGAAGAGAGGAGGCCGAGCAAGTTGCTGGGCTAATCCCAGACATAGAAGGAGCAGCGAGTCTTCACGGACTTTCGGAACCACCTCGGTGCTCTTCCCTGGGAGCCGGAGTTGTCAGAAGCAAAACAAAACAACACACACCCTCCCGCATCCGCCCCGGATCCTCCCGTCCCACCACCCCCTGGAAAGGACGTCTCCCTGAAAGGTTAGAAAGAAGGTAAGCCATGTGTTTGCCATCTTGACGCCTGATATGGAAACCATATGCTTAAATACACTCACAAACATACTTAATATAACACTCTTTTATTAAATGTGGTTTTATAAACGCTCTCCCCAGCCA